GGCTAAAGACGCCAGACAGATAGCAACCAAGCCGACCATCCAAGTAGAGGAAGCGGTCGCACGACTTGTACCCGCAAATATCTGTAGCCGCCACGGTAGCTGTTTAGGCACGAGATTTTTTTGAGTTCAGTTCTAGCAAGGCCATGATGCCGCGCCGTCGCAGTCGTAGCGGCAACCGCAGCCGCAGCCGCTCGACCACCAATGTCTATACAAGCGGCTGTGGTTGCAGAGTCAGGAGCAGATCAAGAATTTGACTATGGACAGAGCCAAGTTACAGGCTGAGGTGAAACATGTGCGCCGGGAGAAGAGTCGAGAGCGCAGCAAGCGTATGAAGTTGGAAGCTAACGAGATCGTCAGAGCGCAAGAAGGCGCATGATATGAAAGAGGCCATGAACGACTACTCGGCGGATGTCTATGAGGTATGGAAGAAGGCCAGGAATTGAATGCGGCCGGAACCATTATCAAGCAACGCCAAGAGCGCGTGAAGCGCCTGTTTCAGAACTACACAAACAAAGTTGCGGCTCATCCCAACGTTGTGACCTACACCTGCAACTTCTGCACGGGCATTTGTGCGCCCGCCAAGATGACAACATCATACACCGTCGACGAGCCCGAGGACACGGCGGATAATGAGAAGGCGGTGATCTGCTTTCCCTGTGGCCATCTTCATCATTGGAGCTGCCACAAAGAGCACATGCAGTTTAACCCAGCCTCTACCCGTTGTGTGGTGTGTCGCAATGTCGTGAGAGAGCACTCGGCCAATGAGAAGCTGAGTAACATAGGTCTTGGGCAGGGTGATAAATCGACCTTAGCTCCCCAGGCTTTGATAGTAGTTAGCGCGTGAGAAGCATCAACGCCCAAGCTCCCACACGCGCGCAACGGTCCCCCACAGCAGCGGCACACAGCAGCGGCGCCACACGCACACAACAGCAGCGGCACCAGCGCCCAAGCTACCACGCCCACGCGTGCAGCAGCAGCACCCAGCGGCGCCAGCGCCCAACCTCCCACGCGCACACAGCAGTCGCACACAGCTGCGGCACCAGCGCCCAAGCTCCCACGCGCACACAGCAGTAGCGCACAGCAGCGGCGCCAGCGCCCAAGCTCCCACGCGCACACAGCAGCGGCACCAGCACCCAAGCTCTCACACGCGCACAGCAGCAGCACACAGCAGCGGCGCCAGCGCCCAAGCTCCCACACG